AATTTCTACGTTATAGCAAGTGACAACACTGTAGATGATGCATGTTATAGTTAGGAACATTATAACGGGATGCATGTTATAGTTAGGAACATTATAACATTTAGGAATCAAGAGTTGCTGCTTCATGTTGTCATAAGTTGACTTGGATGATTGATTTTACCTTTTTAAACTGTAGAATATAATTGAAACTACTTTGCGAAGTCATTGCCAGATGATAAAGTTTCTTCTAGTTTGAAGTATATACCATATTTTTATCTGGCAGGTTATTGCAAATAGAGCAGCTGAAATTCTTGGGCACAAGCGTGGTGATAAGTTTGTTCATCCAAATGATCATGTGAACAGATCACAATCTTCGAACGACACATTTCCAACTGTAAGCTTAGCTCCAGGAAGTGTATATTTAGTTTCATACACTCTGGTTTATCTGAAGTATAGCTACTGATTTGATTATGGCTTTTATTTATGCGCAGGTAATGCACATAGCAGCAGCAATGGAAATCAATTCAGGATTAATACCAAAACTGAAACAGTTGCACTCAACACTTAATTCAAAGGTTTTGTGACTATGTTCTCTCCTTTTCCTTCTACCGCCTGTCTCCTCATTTACTGTTTGTACTATCTCTATGTTTCATTTGGCCGTCTTTTGTATCAATTTATGATTTGCTATATTTGTGCAATTTCGTTACCACTATTGTGAAGATGCAAAATATCTTTCATGAATGTCCTTTTTGTTATGTCTTCCAGTCTGTCGAATTCAAAGACATTGTAAAAATTGGCCGTACTCACACACAAGATGCTACGCCACTGACACTTGGACAAGAATTTAGTGGCTACACCACACAGGTAGGTTTTCGTCCAGTGCCTTTTGAGAGATTGGTTGCATTTTTGTGAATCCTATTCAGTTGATATCTGAAGGTTACAAAATATAACGCATGTCGACATAAAGATTGTGCCAATGATTTTAGGTGAAGTACGGTATTGATCGAGTCTCATGCACCCTGCCCCACATGTATCAGGTTAATATTTTTCTTCAGTAACCTCTTTTTTTTTATTCATTCAAATTCTTTGCTCTTTAAATGACCCTAAGAGGTTGGAGACTATCTGCAGCTGGCACAGGGGGGTACTGCTGTAGGAACTGGTTTGAACACAAAGAAAGGGTAAGATATTAAGTGTACAACTAAGATTGTTGCTTGGTTCTACTAACCTAAAAACAATTTCACATATCTTAGTTGACATCGTAATAGTTCTTTTCATTTTCTTTACCGAAGCAACATGATGTTGTCAGGTTCGACGTTAAGATAGCTGCAGCAATAGCTGAGGAAACTAATTTACCATTTGCGACAGCCGAAAACAAATTTGAGGCTTTGGTATAGCTCCCTTTCAGAAGTTTGTTGTTTTTTCACTGCATCTCTTGAATATATGGGATTGCCATCTGTTTATAGCAGACATTCTTATCAGCGTATGTATCTGTGCACTTTTTTTTTTTTTTTTTTGAGGAGATAATTTTATTTCTTTCCGTCTTCTGTTTCGATAGGCTGCCCATGATGCTTTTGTTGAAACAAGTGGAGCCTTAAATACGGTTGCTACGTCTCTTATGAAGATAGCAAACGACATACGTTTCTTAGGAAGGTATAATGGAATCTAATTGTGTTTCTTAAATACTAAGGGTGTGATTGGATATAAAGTTAACCAAAAAAAAAAACCAATCAAAACACAAATTTAACTCGACTTTAACTCAACTCCACTATCCTCAATATTATCAATATAATAAAATAATATCAACCAATCATTCTTACACATCACATCAATTTTAATTTACTATTCCTTCACGTACATATTAAAACTAACCATCACTTTGAATAATTTTTATCCTACTTTTACATCAAATCACTCTAATTATTTTATTTATAATTATTATTTTTAATTTAAACTTAAATTACCACCAACAACTAACCATACCACCTTTTTAAAAATTACCTATGGTTAACAAAATAACCAATCAAATCCGTATCAAATCACACCCTAAGTTCTGTGATTCAGTTGTTCTCACAACCTGGTTTTTGTACAGTGGTCCACGATGTGGCCTAGGAGAACTCATACTTCCTGAAAATGAGCCTGGCAGCAGTATAATGCCGGTAATGTGTGTGTGTGTGTGCGCGCTTTCTGGAACATTGCTGTTGGCTGATTATCTTATTACTGCTATTAACTGTGTGGTGCTCACAATTATTTTATATTTCAGGGCAAGGTGAACCCTACGCAGTGTGAGGCTCTCACGATGGTTTGTGCTCAGGTAAAAAATAATCTGAAATATGGACAAAAAGAAGTCATTCTCTCCAGATATCTGATGTGCTCTTTTACTTTTTAGGTAATGGGCAATCATGTGGCAATTACAGTGGGGGGATCAAATGGCCATTTCGAGCTGAATGTATTTAAGCCTGTCATTGCGAGTAATCTATTACAAGTACGTTTACTTATTTGTGATCATTATTTTTTACATCGATTTGTGTTTTTTGCCTATATAATGCTAGTCATTGGTGATCCATTGTGATTCTTCTTTGATGTTGATTTTTCTTTTGTTTCTTTTTTCCATTCAAAAGGACATCCATTGACTTTCTCCATTTCTTTCAGTGACCACTTTCAAAATTTGGAAAACATTTATTAAATATCGTTATCTTTTGTCTTTTAGTCATTGAGATTGCTTGGCGATGCGTCTGCTTCCTTCGAGAAGAATTGTGTCAGGGGAATTCAGGCCAACAGGGAAAGAATCGCTAAATTGTTGCACGAGGTCAGTCTATTTCGCATATGATGAGGAATATTATTGGAAACTTTATTTATTAACCATTGTAATATTACTGCCTCTAAATGATGTAATTTGTGCCTTTTTAATGCATTGCAGTCCCTCATGCTTGTTACTTCTTTGAATCCAGTAAGTTTGCTAGCTAATTTAATTATAATCCGCTCCTTATTTTGAAACACTGCTGGATTTTTGCTAGTTGTAACTAATTTTTGTTGTGAATCTAGAAAATCGGTTATGATAACGCTGCATTAGTTGCCAAGACAGCTCATAAGGAAGGAAGTACCTTGAAGGTTTGTGTCTTACTGAGAACCTACCCTTTTTCTTATTGCAATAATTAATACGTGAATGTATATCTACTTTAGGCTAAATTGCATTTTTAGTCCTGCTCGTTTAATGCCATAACAATTTTAGTCCCAAGATTCTAACATTTTGCTTTTTTAGTCCTATGATTTAATATTTTGCTGACTGAAATTGCAACAAATTCCCAAATTTACATCTTTGAGATAGATTTTTTATTAGCAAGTTAAGTCCTGTAATTTAAAATTTTGTTGCAATTTGAGTCAAAGAACTGAAATTGAAACAAAATATTAAATCACAAGACCAGAAGGAGAAAAATTGGAACTCTGGGACTAAAATTGTTACGTCGTTTAACCAACAAGACTAAAAATTCATTTTTGACTTTACTTTATCACTATTTTGTGCCCGTGAACTACATTCGATCCATTCTTTGTGCATAAAATGTTTCGTTTGCAAAAAAATACTTGTCATCCCGTTTGATGAAATTTCCATTCTCTGTAGAATGCTGCCTTAAAACTAGGCGTGCTCGATTCCGACGAATTCGATCAGCTTGTGGTGCCTGAGAAGATGATCGGCCCTTCAGACTAATATCTTTGGAAAAAACATTTTTAAATTTTATTCGGCCTCTTTTCGGTTGGGAGACAATTATTATTCTTGAGGTTTTCTCTACTCTGGTTTCTTGTGGGAAAAACTCTATATTTTTGCAGCTGCTGCTTGGGAAATAAAATATGCAGCAGACAACTAGAAGAACCTACCCTTTTTGCTTGCCATATAATTGGTCTTATGAGGACGATGTGATTAGTGCTGTAATAGAACCGAACAAGCTGCGCTTGGGCGTTTCGAGCTCGTTTACGTTCGAACAGTCCGTGTTCGTTCGTTTATTTTTCGAGCAAAAAAATATGTTCGAGCTCGTTCGTTTATTGTTCGTCAAAGTTCGAGTTTGTTCGTGTTCAAATAATTTATGACACAAACATTTTAAATATGTTCGACTAATTGGAAATTTGTTCGTTCGAACTCGAAAATTAAAAAAAAATATTTTTATACTTTGGATTTTTAAAATATTATGTAAATATATAAAAAATAAAATAAAATTATATTAAATTAATGTTCAGAACATTATTGAACGTTTGCAAATGAGTTGTTGTTTGTTCGACTATTAAACGAGCTTTCTGTTTGAACTCGATTAGATTAACAAATGAATGAACTCGAACAAGCCTTCACGAACATTCGGTTGGTTAACCGCCCTAGATGGAATTCATTCCTGCCAAAATTGTCAAACTCAAAACCCAGTAAAGGAAAGAAAACAAGTGGTAATTAAAGGATTAGGTAAATATATTCATGTTGATTGTAACTAACTTCTTCGGTTGATCTCAAGAAAATCGGTTACGATAATGCTGCATTAGTCTCCAAGACAGCTCACAAAGAAGGAAGTACATTAAAGGTTTGGTCGACCCGTCACTCGATTCTTGTTTGTTCATTCGTTTTGTTGTATAAAAATGTAGTTCGTAAGATATAATCGATTAAACTTCGACTGAACAGAACGCAGCCTTGAAACTCGGATTGCTCGATTCGGAAGAATTCGATCAGCTTGTGGTGCCGGAAAAGATGATTAGCCCCACGGAATAATATCGATCTATCCCAGTTTAATTATTAGATGATGTTTCTCTAGTGTTTCTCTGTTGTGATTCATGTTATGTAAACCAGCAAAGGAGTCGGTTAGCAAGACCTCAAAAGGGAACAGTAAACTAGATAAACTTATGACTATCTTAAGTTCTTGTTATGAAGAGGCTCAGTCACATGATCGTTTACTGCATTATTTTGCAACATCATGATAATAAAGAAGTAGCTCGAAACTTTAGTAAATTTATGCACATCCGCACCGGAAATACGAATAATACGCGGTCCTTCAAAACCCTTTCTTCCACATCACCACCACCGGTGACACCACTTGCCGTCGCCCGTCAGACCAAGTTATTTTACCGGCCTCCGTGACCGTGTTTCCGGGCCTCACCTCCATCTTCGCTGCTTTTACCCTCACCGTGTAGCTTAACTTTTCACCCTTTCCTTTAAATTCCATTTTCATCGGGGCTACCGTTAAGCTCACCCCTTTCGGATTAGTTACAGTCACGTCATAACTAGCCTGGCCTTCGCCAACATGTGTAACGGTCCTCTTCACCGCAATCTCGAGATCCGCCCCCAACTCGGATCCCTCGAAGTCAACCGCGATTGCCGGGTAGTTGAGTTGCCACGGTTTTGGTTTGATCTTCTCGCAACCGACCGTCCGCCTAGCCACTTGTCGTATTTCGCGACGGGTGAAATTCGAAGCGCAAAGGAAGTTTAAGTACTCGTCGGCACTAATGTCGTAGACCAAACCCGGATCGACGGCTTTCTCCGGGTCCACGTGGCCGGCGCCCATATCCCAAACCGTGGACTCGTTGTAAGACTTCTCGTCGAGTATCGGCCGGCCTCTCGAGTCGTGGCTGTAGGCCGTGGTCATCATGGCCGACCGGATCACGGCCGGGGACCAGTCTGGGTGGGCGCCCTTGAGTAGGGCAGCCACACCCGAGACGTGCGGGCAGGACATGGACGTGCCCGAGGCCACGTTGAACTCCGTGCGCCGCTCGTCGGTGGGTAAGTCCGTCGGCGAAACGCCGGGGGGCCATGCGGCAAGGATGTTCACACCTGGAGCTATCAAGTCTGGCTTCAAGATGTACGGCGACTCCAAGCTCGGGCCTCGAGCCGAAAACGAGGCCAACACTGGGGCAGGCATGACCCCGACCTCTGTGCCGCGGAACACCATCGTGGCCCTCGGGTTCGGGCTCAGGTTGGTGTAATCGCGAAGCGTGCGGCCCGCAGATTCGGTCACGGCTAGGCCCGGGATCACGTGTGAGTCGGCCACGAGCCCTTCCCCGATGGGTGCCACGTTGGCAACCACCACGCCTGACCCGCGGGCCTTCCGGACGACCTCCCCCTTGGCGGCCCGTGAGTTTCCGCCGCGGTCGCAAATTACGATTTTACCCTCCACAAGCTTCTCGTCGAGCGAGCCCGCCAGGCACGTGGCGGCCGTGAATCCACCCGATCGCCGCCCGCTGGCGGCGGCAGCGGAGGCGTTGCGCCCGTGTATCAGGGGCAAAAAGGTTTTATCGGGCAACAGAGGTCCGCTATAGAGCGACGCGCCTTTGAGCACCCGACCGTCAGCGAGCAGGAGGTCAGCCGGGAACTTTCGGTCGATCGTGCCGGCGCCGACCGTCGTCATCCACGGCGCCACGTTGGTCACCGTCCCCTTTGTGGGCCCCTCGTTTCCGGCCGATGCCGAGATGAAAACGCCCCTCTCGGCCGCGCCGAAAGCACCGATTGCAATCGGGTCCAAATTGTGCGGCACGGCTCCGCCGCCGATTGATATCGAGATTACATTCACCCCGTCCTCGGCCGCCTTGTCGAAGGCCGAGAGTATGTCGGAGTCCGTGCACCCGTTTTTCCAACAAACCTTGTAAACAGCGATTCGGGCCTTGGGGGCGATCCCGATTGCCACGCCGGCCGCGTAACCAAAAAGGGACGCGTTTCGGACGGCCCGACCGGCGGCGGTGGAGGCCGTGTGGGTCCCGTGGCCGTCGGAGTCCCTCGCGGACCGAAACTCCGCCGACGAGTTGATCGGGCCCTTACGGGCTTCATAGCCCGCTGAGAAGAATCGGGCCCCGACGATCTTCTTGTTGCAGTGGGATTTGTTGAAACGGTCGCCCTCCGTGCACTCGCCCCGCCACCAGGGGGGAATCGGGCCGAGGCCCGAGTCATCGAAGCTGGGCCTCTCTGGCCAGATGCCCGTGTCGAATATCCCGATCACGACGTTGGAGCCCCAGTCGGACTCGGAGAGCAAACGGCCCGTCGGGTTTTTGTCTGACGAAAGGCCCATGAAAGCAGGGGAGCGGGTTATGTGGAGCTGGTTGAGTCGGTCGGGAAGGACCGCAAGGACACCAGGTCGGGTCCCGAGCTGTCGGGCCTCTTGTCGAGTGAGTTTTGCGGAAAAGCCGTGAAAGACCGTTTTATATACGTGGAGAAATTCACGGGTGGGTCGGGAGGGATTCGGGTTTTCGGAGGCTAGAAGGTCGGAGTCGAGGCTGTGGAGAGTGGCTTTGTACCATTCTTCGACATCGGAAAAGGCCGAAGGCTTCAAGTCATTTTCGACGCGGACGATATAGGCTCGAGAATCGTCGAAATCGACGGGTTCGGAGAAAACGAGAGAAGAAGATAAGGGAATGATTAGGAAAAACAGAGAAGAGATGAAATGAGCCATATTGGATTTTCAGGGGACTTTTTGTGTAAGAAGTGTGGTTGTTGGCTGGGGATTTTATAGGGAGTTTTTGGAAAAGGAATATAGAGAAGGAGACAAAAATGGTTAGTGTAAAAAGGTTGAAATTTTTCAACGTATTTTGTGCCTGAAATGTGAGTGTGCAAGAGTTTCATGAGATGGGCAGAGTTATATACTGAGGTAGGTTGCTACACATTTTTCCAAAGGCAAAGGTGGCGGTTTTTTTTTTTTTT